GGGTCCTAACCCTGACAGCGTCATCAAGCCTAACACTCACAAAAAGATGAATTATTGTTAATACTTGGCGTGCGTAAGAAGCATCTTTTGTAGAAACGATACTGCAAGTTTAACAAATAATTAACGCTTTGTGCTTGTTTTAGGTCTGGCAGGCTCTCAGAGACTGACAGCACCTGTAAAACAAAAACGAGATTAGAATTATGAGTGGTATTTCGGAAATGGAAAAAGCTTTGATGGAGAAGGCTCCACACTGAGTATTTTCAATAATTGATGCGTTAGTAAATTTTGGTACTTACCTGTTTGGAACCTTTATCCATCGATGACTCAGTCTGAAACAAAGGAAGGAGTTGTGAATTATTAGCAAAACTTTGGGAATAAACTTCTCGAGTGTTGATGAGACTTGACTGATGGGAAATTTCAATAATTGAAATTTTCAAATTTGTATTAACTTCGTGAAAATTTGTCAATTATGGATAAAACTTTGTNTGTAGACATGTTTTGGGTCAAAGAATAAGTCAGTAAAGTTTCATCAATAATTTGATAGTTTTGTTCTTAAAGCGGGTTGCGCATGCGCGAGCACCAAGGAGTGGGGAAGGCGAGGTTTCTTCCCGAAGCCGCGCGCTCCTCACAGTAGTAGGAATCGAGCGTCTCAAGAAGTAAGACGCTATGATCACGTTTCTTGCTCAGTAGTTGGATACGGGCGTCCGAACTAGTGTGACGTCGTAGTTACGTATCTTGCTCAAAAGTCTGGTACGAGCGTCTCAAGAAGTAAGACGCTATGAACACGTATCTTGCTCAGCAGTCGAGTACGGGTGTTTATAACAAGCAACGCAGATTGCGACACTGTAAACTCGGTTGTAAATTATGTTTAGTGTACAAACCTGTGACACAAGAAAAATTGTTATCTTAACAAGTGTAAATAAACAGTTTGTAAACAATTTACCTATAAACTCAGTGTACGATCATTTCGCACAACCTGAACTTTGGTAAAATCTGGGCCTTACCAGAAGCCCGTTGTCCGCAGCCATCATCCAGGGTCCGTAGTCAAAGAAGATCCAGGGACAAAAGCGGCAAGTCCGGATGTTCATCGGTTTGGTGAGTCCGTTCCTAGAACACAACGAAAGGATTAATTTCTTCCTGTTTGATGATCAAAGCAGGTGGCGACCGTAAAAGTTAATTAAACGTCTTAAGCGTCCGGTCACAACCTAACTTCTTATTCAACATAGTTTTTTTTTGGATAAAGCAACATTCGAAATGAATGATAACGCCAATACATAATGTTAATACCGGTAATACTCCAATATTTATAACGATGCTATTGTTACAGCCGGGACCGAACATCCGTCCCGGCACAAAAACGGCGCTTAGCACCGAATAAAATTGTTAAACTGGCAGCGTGTATCAAATACACGCTGCATAGCGGCATGCGTGCCGCCCGCACCGCACCGTGCCTACGAGCAATAACGTACCGCCCGCAACG